TGCGGGGGGGGGGAACCCTGTGCGGGGGGGCTGTACCAGGCAGGCTGCGGGGGGAGGGAACCCTGTGCGGGGGGGGTAGGCAGGCTGCGGGGGGGGGGCCCTGTGCGGGGGGCTGTACTAGGCAGGCTGCGGGGGGGGGGGGGGGGCTGTACCAGGCAGGGAGGGGGCCCTGGGGGGGCTGTACCAGGCAGGCTGCGGGGGGGGGGGGAACCCTGTGCGGGGGGGCTGTACCAGGCAGGCTGCGGGGGGGGGGAACCCTGTGCGGGGGGGCTGTACTAGGCAGGCTGCGGGGGGGCGGGGGGGGCCCTGTGCGGGGGGGCTGTACCAGGCAGGCTGCGGGGGGGCCCTGTGCGGGGGGGGGGTAGCCCGGGCGGTGCGGGGCGATAGTGCCGCGGCAGCCCGCGGGCGGCGGGGGACGGGAGCCCCACGGGGCGGCCGGGCTGGGGGCAGCGCTCTCGGGGCCGGCCGTGGGGCCGCACCGCCGTCCCGCCACAGCGCCGGCAGCCCCGCGTCCCGCCGGGCGGGCCCTCCCGCGCCTCCGGCCCGTCCCCAGGGCGGGGAGTGAGGGGAGGCGCGCGCGGGTCGGGCCACCGGCTTCCACCCCGCCCCCCCCCATCCGCAATGTTGGTACGATCCGAGCGGAGCGGAGCGGGCGGGGGCGAGCGGCAGTTGGCTGAGAACGGGCGGAGTGGAGGGAGGGGGGCGTGGCCTGCGCGCGCCCTCCGGCGCTGGGCGGTGGGGGCGGGGTCCGCGCGCGCCCGGGGGAGGGGCCGCCCGGGGCCCCGCCGCCGAGTGCGGCCAGTGTGCGCGAGGCGGCGGCCGGGGCGGGCGGCGGTGGATGGAGGGTCCGGTCCGGATCGCCCGCGCGCTCTGGAATGTGCTGGGGGCGGCTGCCGAGCGGGGGCGGGGGCTCTCGGGGCACGGCCAGCCCGGCTGCTGAGAGGTACCGGGCGGGGCTGCGGGCGCCGGCTGGCCTGGCCGGGGGGAGCGCGGGGCGGGGCGGGGCAGGTTACCTGGCGGGGAGGGGGCGCCGGGCGCCAGGCTGGGGGAGCGGACTCAGGGGTGCTGGGTGCCAGGCGGGGGGAGGAATCGGGGTGCTGGGTGCCAGGCGGGGGGGGGGAATAGGGGGTGCTGGGTGCAGGCGGGGGAGCGGACTCAGGGGTGCTGGGTACTAGGTCTGAGTGAGGCGGTGGGGGGAATCGGGGGTGTTGGGTGCCAGGCGGGGGAGCGGACTCAGGGGTGCTGGGTGCCAGGCGGGGGGGGGAGGAATCGGGGGTGCTGGGTGCCAGGCGGGGGGGGGAATAGGGGGTGCTGGGTGCCAGGCGGGGGAGCGGACTCAGGGGTGCTGGGTACTAGGTGCTGAGTGCCAGGCGGTGGGGGGAATCGGGGGTGTTGGGTGCCAGGCGGGGGAGCGGACTCAGGGGTGCTGGGTACTAGGTGGGGGGAATGCTGGGTGCCAGGCAGGGGAGCGGACTCAGGGGTGCTGGGTACTAGGTGCTGAGTGCCAGGCGGTGGGGAATCGGGGGTGTTGGGTGCCAGGCGGGGGAGCGGACTCAGGGGTGCTGGGTACTAGGTGGGGGGAATGCTGGTGAGGCAGGGGAGCGGATCAGGGGTGCTGGGTACTAGGTGCTGAGTGCCAGGCGGTGGGGAATCGGGGTGCTGGGTGCCAGGCAGGGGGGAGGAATCGGGGGTGTTGGGTACTAGGTTGGGCGGGGTGCCAGGCGGGGGGGGAGGAATAGGGGGTGCTGGGTGCCAGGCGGGGGGAGCGGACTCAGGGGTGCTGGGTACTAGGTGCTGAGTGCCAGGCGGTGGGGGGAATCGGGGGTGTTGGGTGCCAGGCGGGGGGAGCGGACTCAGGGGTGCTGGGTACTAGGTGGGGGGGGAATGCTGGGTGCCAGGCAGGGGGAGCGGACTCAGGGGTGCTGGGTACTAGGTGCTGAGTGCCAGGCGGTGGGGGGAATCGGGGGTGCTGGCTAGTAGTGCCTGTTGGGGGTGCTAATGGGGGGTGCTGGGTGTCAGGCAGCGGGGTCAGGGATGCCGGCTGCTAGGCGGGAAGTGTTGGGTTCTGGTTCAGGGGATCTGGGGTTCTGGGTGCCAGGCAGTCGGATTGGGGAGTGCTGGGTGCTAGGTGGGGGGTGCTGGGTGCCAGGTGGCAGGAGCGAGGTCGGGGATGCTGGCTGCTAGGCAGGGGGTGCTGGGTGCCAGGTGGAAGGATCGGGGTTGGGGGGTGCTGGATGGTGGATCAGGGTTGGAGAGTGGATGGCAGAGCTAAGCTCTTGCCTTCTCCAATACTCCCAACTCATGAGTGAGCGAGTGGCAGTAGGGGGCAATCCCTGGGTGCTGTGGAGCCAGGTCCCCAGCCAGGACTCCAGGGAAGTTGCCTTCAGGGACCGTGCATAGGGCTGTGATGCAGTAGGTAGGGCCAGCCAGTTTGATCCCCCCTCTGTAGGTTCCAGGAAAGGTGCTAAGCTGGCCCTGGCTGGTGTTAGCATTGAAGGGTGTTATATTGGGCTATTTACCTTCCTGTGATGCTTAAAGACCTTGGTGTGACTTCCCACCCCATATGTACCATAGCATTTCCTGGCAATGTAGGCAGGTGGGGGGTTGCGAGGAAGGGTCATTTCTGGAGACAAGAGATCACCAGATACCAGCTGCTCCACCTTGGGACTATTGTGGGCTTGTTTTTGATAAACACCACCTCACATCCTCCAGTTGAAGCCTAGGAGGAGACATAGGAGTGATTGCCTTCCTGAGTTGCCTGGATTAGGTATGAGAGGAGAGGGCTACTCTGGAAGCAACTCTGACATTGCCTCTTTAAAATTTGATGTTGATAGCTTAATGCTGCAAACGTTCCCTGAGCAAAACCAAGGGCAGCAGACTACCTGGCCTTCAGTCTTTCTGCTGCTAAGTACAATAATAATACTCAGATACCTCGTAGACAAAAAGGTATACTCAGCAGAACTAAAGGCAGTGCCTGGCATGTGGTTGGTAAATGTGATGGAGAGAGACAGCTGTCAACTTCAGATTGTCAAATTAACATTCAACACAGCTCCTTTTAAACATTAAATTGCAAGTTGCTTCTTGTTTTTTCTTAAGACTATTTGTAGCAGCCGATGTTGGGAAGTTATCTTCATTTGGGACAGGATGAAAGATCAGAATTTGTTTGGAAATTTTAAATTAGCTGTTTGTTTTCTAGCTGAGTAGCAGTTAATCATTCTTACTGTCGAGGAGCAGCACAGACTGCCACTATCTGTTAAGCACGTGTTGAAATTGTACAGTGCACAAATGAGCAGCTTGGAAAATCAGAGAAACGCTGTCAAATGGGAAAACCTTTGCACTTCCTTGAAGTTGAATTCAGCCAGTGTTTTGACTATTTGGCATCCGAAATGTACTTCGTTGTTTTTAATGTTGTGTAACTGCATTCAGAATCTTGGTTAATTGATAGTCTTGAGAGGAAGATATAATTTCATGAGCAAAGCGTAGATTCCCAAGATCATTATTTATGAGAGGTGACGATTCATGTGCAACTCATTTTTGTCTAATAAAACTCTTCTTGGGTTGTTCAAACTCTTGAGTATGAAATGCTTGAGCACATCTCAAGCTTCAAGATCAAAAAGTACAAAGGATCATAGAGTTGGACCTCATTGATCCAGCCTGTGTAGGTTTGCATCAGTCCTTGCCTGCTGTTGCAGGTGGCTTGACTTTGAAGTGAGCTAATTAAATTGATGTTGTTTAGATGGACTGCTTTATGCAGGTCAGCAAGGCAGAGTTAAATGAGATTTGTGTACTGGAGTGGGGGCTCTTGTCGCTAAAAGTGAAAGGTAAACCTAATTTAATTGTTCTTCTATTGTCTCATCAGACATGGTTTGTTTGCAGTTTGACAAAACATTTTCATGACTTTCTTCACTCATATTAAGTTAGGTAATCTGGGCTCTTTATTTAACTTAAAGTGTAAATGGAGCAAAAAAATCTTATTCACTAGAAATGTTTTCCCTCAAACTGTATATATAAACTGAAATATGAATATATATTTGTGGATTCCATTTGTTTGTTTTTAAACAGAACTTTGAGGGGAAAACCCCAAAATTATTTACTATATTGATATAATAGGAATAAAGTGGGATATATATTTTTTATTTTCTCTAAATTCCCCCAGTGCATCCTATCATCCGTCTCTTTATTGGAATCTCTTTGAGGCAGGGATTTTTTTTCGTATCTTTCTGTCTTGTAACAGACATTGTACTTTGGGATGTAAACAAAATTACAATTAAAGGAGAAAGTTATTTTGTAATTGTGGTAATGTAATGCCTGGAGAATGTAAAAGACTCATAAAATTATAATATTTAATGGCCCTTTTTGTGGCATTTATTCTAAAATAAGGAGATGAGTTGGTACCTGTTTGAATATAAATGCTAACTTGTATTAAAGTGGACTCAGTAAAGGAGATAACCTTGTTTTTTTGTTAATAGTAAGGAATCCTGCCATATGGAATGTCACTTTCAAAATCTTAACTTACAGGAAAATAAACCACTTTTCTATGATTCTTTTTTCATTTCCTACAGTATCACTGGCGTGATCTGAATAATAGTACTGAGGTGATATTATTAATGTGGCTTTTTAAAATCAAACTAATTATATTTGCCTGAAAGAGCCACATTAGTGTGATTCTAGCTCCCTGGTGCCTTTTTGGAGCCCTGGAGACAGCCTAGTGAATAGGGCTGAAAATTCATTCTGTATTTGATTAAATGGAACAGACTCGTTGCTCCTTACCCCAGCAGGGGCTATGAGATCTCTTGATCCTCGAAGCGGCTCAGAGACCCTGGGAATTCCATTAGTGAGCACCTGAGGAATTTCTGCCCTGCAGTGCCTTTTTTTTTGGTGGTAGTGGGGGGAGAGAGCGAGTAGTATGGCAGTGTTGATGGTGGGCGGAGGAGGCGGCATTAGAAGAATTCATATGTTGGCAGATCTAAAATCAAGGCATGACTTAACAGCTTATCTTGTAAGAGAAAAGCCCAACCCAAAGGCATACTATTAGCCAAGACTTCTTATATTTAAAGTGGAACTGTGGTGTGTATTGGGCACTGAGATGAACTCGTCCACACAATTTATTGAACCCGTCTGACTCTTTAGTTCTCAAACTGTAGACACAAATTGGAGGAAAACAAATATAAAAACACACTTGCAAGCCTGGTGAGTTTCTCCAAACAGTTTACAGTATGTCAGCTGTTTTGCCTTGATGCTAATTGTTAATGATTTGGGGTTTTATTGCAGTTTTCCAAAGAAAGTAAATCTGTATGATTGACTTCTGTGATGACAAGTTAAAAGAAAACAATTAAAATAATTATATAGATATAGATATTTTTTGTCCCAGGTCATTGTAGATATAAAATTATAATGCTAGAAGAACCTGAACTCACTTTTAATACCCTCTTTATTGTCTTAAAACTTTAAAATCGATACCTCAGTATTATTTTTGCCTAATATGTTACTTTCTCTGAAGTTAGTCTGGAGGAAAAAAGTATAGTTCTTAAAGAACCCTCTTCTGAACATTTTAAAACGACTTGAGATTTCAAATAACTTGTATTATTTTTCAGATTTTCTTGATGCAATTATGTGTATTTTTATTAAAATAAAATCTTAGTAACTGGTCTTGAATTTGAAATTAAAGTTAGTTAATTGGTTGTTTTAGTTTTCTTGTGAGTGAGGTTATATGGCTAATGACTTAATGGAAGAACTTTCAGCCAGCCTTGAGCTAATACAGGATGTTGTAGTATATTTGAGAGTTTATTTTTTTGTCATTTTGATTAAGAGTAGAAATCCGAATTTAAGTGCAGACTTACAGTGCTTCCTGTAATTATCTCACTAAGTACATTTACATTATCACTAAAGAAATTTGTAAAGAGTTGTTTTAACTTAACAAAAAAATTTATTGACATAAATTAAAACAAATACTTTTTTTTTCCATATTCTGTTACATTGTCTTAACTTGAAAGGATTGGGAAGTTGTTAAATCTGACCACATGTAGGACGCCTTGTATTTCAGTTACCTACTTGAATTGTTCTGTGCCAGCAATCATATAGCTACTTCATTACATTTTATATACTGGCAGGTTTCAGAGGAGCTGCCGTGTTAGTCTGTATCCGCAAAAAGAACAGGAGAACTTGTGGCCCTTGAGAGACTAACCCATTTATTTGAGCATAAGCTTTCATGAGCTACAGCTCACTTCATCGGATGCATCTTATGCATCTTATATGAAAGCTTATGCTCAAATAAATGGGTTAGTCTCTAAGGTGCCCCGAGTTCTCCTTTTCATTTTACATAATGAAGTTCCTAGAAACTAGTTGTACAAGAGTATGCATTCAGTATGTTAGTCTTAAGATATCAGTTTGGTTAGAATTTTGACTAGGTGTCTAATTTTGTAAACGCACAATTCTGATATGTATACAGGTTAAAGACTGCAAAACTCACTATTATATGTAAAGATTTTATTTGCTTTAAAGCCATCTGTAATTAGGATTACCTGGTAGCTAGATGCACTTTTTTTTCCACATTTGGTGGTTTATTCACAGATGTTTTCATTTCATGATCTTGAACAAAATAGGTCATTCTGTGACATCTATACCTCTTAAAATAAAGTTGCACTTTGGAGAGCTTAGCTGACAGTTTGACAGAGTCATTTTGTGTGAAGTAAACTGAACAACAAAGTGGTGCCATGTTGTCTATTAAAAAAAGAGAAAAGTCTTTAGGAAGAGGGTGTGCTTTTGTATTAGACAACTTAGTTGCTGATGGCAACAATCCTTTTCTTAACATTGCTGTAGTATTCTAAAGATGTTCAGATCTTGAATATCATTATTTAAACATTTCATGGCATGAATTTATTTCAGGTTGCTAAACTTAATATTACATGTCATAACTGTGAAAAGGGTGTTTTTGTTGTACCAAGCTAAAATTGTGCTACAGTTTGACTGCATACGTACTCTTCGGTAATCTAATGACTTAAAATCCAGTTTTAGTGGGTTTTTAGTTATAAGAATTAGCTGTAGTTACCACCTGGACAGGTTCAAGACAAGAACACACCCACAAACTTTCACATCACTAGAAGTCTGCTTTTCCACATGGGAGAGGAAATGAAAAAGGAGATTGCCACCTGGTTGAGTCCATAGCATTTCAGTAACCCCCTCCCCCCCCTTAAAATTGTGAAGTGACATAACTAACAGAAGTTTGTGTCATTAATGTTTAAAATTGTTTGTTTAGTAATTTAAAGCTGGAGTTGGAAGTGGCAATACCAAGATAAGGCTCATTGGCTTAAACAGTAGAGGAATAAAAATAAGAAATGGTAGAGTAAAATTGAAATGGGTTTTCAAAAGGGGAACAGTCTCAGAAAATAAGAAACTGTAGGTCTAGCTAAGATAAATACCGTTTTAGATATTTGGATTACCATATGATCTGAATTTTTATAAGCACATATTTAACCACTTATTTACTATTAAATGTGCCGGCACTAGAGGCAAAATACATGTTGTGCATTGTTGCTGAACCAGGTACATCATATTGAAATGCTGATGCTGGAATTTCCCGTGTTGGCGGGGGGGACAACAGCAGAACTCAGTTTTTTAACATCTTACAGATGCTGAAAAGTAACTAATAGTTTGCAGTTCTTACTTTTGTTGGGAGTTCCCCCTGGAAAGCAGGAAAATAAAACTTGCTTTCTCATATTTTTGTTCTCATTTTGCAGACATTGGCTTTTTTGCCATTTCTCCTTTTATGTTTCTTGTAGAAGCTAAGATGCCTCGATTTTGTTTACTATTTTGTTTGCGTACCAGCAGTTTTGATGCTTATCATGCAGTTCTGGGAACAGTGTAATAGCTGCTATGTACTCCCTCTGCTGGCCAGCTGTCAAGCTCTGCACAGTGCTGAATGAAGTATGATGGAGGATGCTATAGAAACAGTAGCTGCTGGTTTATATTTCTTTATACATTTTTGTCTAGGTCTGGTTATTAAAAAACAAACAAAACACCACTGGATTTTCTGGAATGAAAATGATTGTAAAGGTCTCATCTTGGGCCTAAACTGTTTGCCATTATCTCAAGGTTTGTTTTACAACAAGACATAATTGCCATACAAGTTCAAGTAATGTCATCGTCCAAAGATTTTAGCTGTTGAGCCTCAAAACACCCCTACACATGATGATCCCCATTTCACAGACAAGGAAAAAGGCAGGGCAAAAAGATTGTGATTCATCTGCATTAATGCAGCAAGAGTAGCAGGACTTGGAGTAGAACTCACCAAGTCTGGCTCTTAAACCCTGCTCTGTCTAGATACCTCTAACTATTAGACTAGAACTCCCTTGTCTAATATGATCATTTGTTCTACTAAGACCCATGAAATGACTGGAACAGCCACTTGAGAGTTTCTGAATTTTCTTTTGAATCTTTTCTGACCTGTAATATGGTTCTAGCAGTCTGTTTTTTAATGGTAGCATCTAAAAGTACGGAAAACAGCTAACTGGGAAGTGTAGAGAATTAGTGTAATCCGTGAATAGAACTGTCCTCTCCTAAGGTAACAGCTGATGCAAGTAAAGTCTGTGAGTTCAAGAAAAGTCATGTGACCCTGGTTAAACTAATTGAAAATGAATTGTTAAAATCTCTTCTCTCATTGCTCAATTATATTTTTAGATCCTCTAAAGAGAACCAGTAGTTGTTAGTCTGTAGATATATTCACAATCATATCAGCACTTGCTGCTTTTATACTCTCCAATGTTCCATTCTTTTTACTGGAAAGCTACTTTAAATGGCCAGTATGGAGAGCAACGAATCAAAACAGGCACTGACATTTCTAAATGATGAGTTTCTGGATATGATTGATATATATATATATATATATATATCAATATCAATCACACATACATAAATGTGTATATTCTTTCAGGCAAGTTCACTGGTTCTGACCGTGGTTTTCTGGCCTACACTGCTGCAAGACACATTTGTTGGTCCCAGATGCAAGCTCAGCATTTCCCACTGAAGAGCCCATCAGTTCTGTCTGCCTCCAAGTCATCAAGGAGCTACAGAAACTGGTTCTGAAGAGCACAGGACTTAATTTAAAAATAAAAATTGAAAAAGGCCTTTCAATTGATCTGTCTAAATTATTGGAGGATGCACTCCAAAAAAAAATCCTATTTGAGACAAGGCAGGTTTTCTGCAGTGGGCTTCCCATCATGCATGGTTATACCCCATTTTGTTGTTATAGACCTAATGCCCAAGAAGCCCAGGAGGAAAACATGTTCCTATGCTATAACCAGCAGAGGGGGAACTATGCCTGTCCCATTACTAATAGCTGGGTTCCATAGTGGAGAATAAAACATCTGTTCAAGTGTGCACCCTCACCCTGGTCAATCAGTCAACAAAGGACAGGTGAGCAGCAGTCTGTCTCTCTTGAAAAGTGAAAACATGGCATCCAGCTGCCTGTAGGCAGGCTGAATGTAGCCCTAGCCAAAGCTCCCCAAATGGCTTGGCAGCTGCAGGAGTTATTCATCAAAGGCCATTTACATCCTCCTGAATTAGCCCAGACAACTAGAGCCTTTGCTGGCTCTTTCGATAGGAGATCTTGCAGACAAGTCTCAGACAGGGCCTCCAGCCTCAGTTCTCTGATACTCAGTGCTAGGACTGGCAGTGGGAAAAGTTTGCAATATTTCATCTGTATAGAGTCAGAGAAGCTGTAAGAGAGGAGGAACAGGACTCATGTCTATATGCTCTGCTACTTTGGTTCCAGATAGGTCCAGAGGGTAACCAGAAGTTTCTTCAATTTTGAAAAGGTTTGGGTTCAACAGGGAGACCCTACAATCTACTGTGGTTACAACAGTGCCTGGCTGCACAAACTCATCATGCCTGTTCAACTTCTCCTATGGCACGTGACACAGCCAATACTGGTTCTGATCTTCTCTGTCTTTCAACAGCAGTTATGGTGTTCACAAAAACATTAGAAGTACTGGTAGTAAGCTTTAAGCCTTTAGGTAAAGAGGAATCCAAACACATCCATTTCTTGCCAACCTCCTAATCTGAATCCCAGCCTTCACAAATCAGAAACACATGACTGGAACACTAAATTTTCTATAGCAACATAGTTTATTAATCAAGAGAAGTCAAGATGATGTCCTCTCCAAAGGTGATTTACTTATGGGTATGGGTATACA